AGCAGGAAGAAGAGAAACTTTTATTTTTTTGAGACCCACAGCCAATGTTGCGTCATTACTTTAAATTGATTCCTACTCTCAGTCTTTGAAAATGAAATTCCAGAAAATAAATAAGTTTTATTGCTTCAGATAATAAAAAATCTATCCTCTCCCCTCCCCTTTATTTTTGACACTAATTGTATAAATAGCAAGATGGTATGTTTTGTTAGAATTGAGAGGAGCTGTTATCTTAGTACATTTTGTTAACTGGCTTGTACAAAAACTTTAATAATTTTAAAACATTTTTTTAGATGTTAAGTTGCAAATCTTGTATTTATAATAAAAGCTCCGTTTGTATTTCTTTGAGGCCCAGCCAACTTCTGGCCTCAGAAGTAAATGCACTGACTAGACCCACTAGGTCTTGAATGATTCTGTTAGTTGGAGATCATATGTAATGTAGTGTTTCTGCCAAGGGTACTATAGCAATATGCTTACATATTTATTCTTTTTGTTGTTTTCAGTAAGCTATTGTAATATCATCCAAAGTTGTGATAAAAAGCAGTAGACACGTAGTGGTATTATGATGTACAAATTGGGATGCCTCTGTTTTGTCCTTCATGTGAGAGAAGCATTTAGCATAATTTTTAGTTTGAAAAAGTTTTATCATGTTTTACAAAAGGTTTATTCATGTCGGGGATAGACAAACCAAAATCAGGCTATCAAAAGTTTTTGGTAGCTCATCTGTATAGCCGTAAACAGTAGCTAGTTGTAACAGCACAGTAATGGACCTAATTCTCTTCAGCATTTGAGTTGTGTGTTGCTGCCTTTAGGACAAGAGGCTCCATAGCCTGATCTTAATATGTTTATGTTGCCACCTTAACACTTTTTTCCTAGACAGAGAGGGAAGCAGTCTTGCAGATACAAACAGGTACATTTATCATTTGGGGCCCAATCCTTTGAAATGCTGACTTCCCTCTGTTCCCATTGAATTAAATGATAGTTGAGGGTTCTCAGGAACTCCTAGAAGGCACAAAGCGGATCTTAGGAATAGGTTGTCTCGTGAGATTCCTGTGAATAGGTGATAAGTAGAGCTTTGTATTTTGGATTGCTCTTTGGATATGTCTGTCTGTGATTTGAGCCAGAATTGTAATTTCCAGCTGCAGGGGACATATATATACCACTTCTCTTCAAGACATCATGCTAAAAATAGAAGTGTGGGTGCAGGGGTGGGAGGTGGCAGCAATTCTGAGTACAGTCCATCCAAGACTCAGGTAGTTATTTCAGCCTGTTTCCACAGCTATTTTTATTCTGCTAGATCAATCAGAGGTATTGCAGATATGTTGCTTCAAGATGGAAATTACACCACCTGTTCAAAGTAGACATATCCACTGTGTCCAGCCTTTCAGTTGCTTTATCAGACACCTTGTCTATATAAGAGAGTTGCATCAGATTAATTTAAAACTGCATTGAAACGTGTATAGTTAAACGAATGTGAACTCTTGTGTAGACACTCTTATTCTGCTTTAGCTTGAACTTGTTCCTAACAGATTTAAACAAAACTGCTAAAAGCCCAGACTCCTATGCAGATGCACCCCAAGGACTACTTATTTCCTGAACTGATATTTATACCTGTTTATACTGAAATGAGAGGCCACCCAGGAGTTCTATCAGTTAAGCTATATCTGTTTAAATTTCACGTGAGATTATCTCAGTGCAATGTTCCCATATAAAAAAGGCATAAGTAGAGTCCCAGTATTACTGAGAACTGTGCAGTTAAACTGAAAGGCTTTTAAAGATTAAATTAAAATGAGCTTCTCCTCTGGAAAACACTATTTTTTGTACAGTCTGTATTTACAAACACTTCCGTTCATCTGACCAGTGTGTCATAGTAACTACGATTGTTGTTATAATTAATAGCATATGATATGGAGATACTTGAAACTTTATTGTAACCTCAATGCTAGCATGTTAGATAAGTGTAATGGATCAAATATATCTAGAGGTGATACAAGGTATTCTGTGGTTAGGATTGAGTTTCTGAAGCCTGTAAAGATCAATGAAGGGCCTACCGCTGCTACTTGTGCCCATGAATAGTTAATGGGACTTCTTGCATGAGTACAGACTAAGGATATTAAGAGGCAGGTAACTGGGTAATCATGTAGTCAATACAGTTTGTATTGACTACGCGATTAGTCATTTAAGAGCTACCCCTGCTGCGGCTCTGCAGTTTAAATGTAGTAAGAGGCGGGCGTGCAGACAGCCCAACTCCTACTCCATTTAAACTGTGGAGCCACAAAGCAAGTAGTTCCTGGACCCAGCGTGAGCTGAAACTGAGCCAGGTTTGTTCAGTCCCAGCTCATGCTGGGTGCAGCAGCCCCTGTCCCCAGGTGGTCCTAGTGGGGAGCTGGGACACGCCCCCGCACGGCGAGGAGCTACTCCGGTGAAGCAGTCCCTGTCTGGCAGCTGGGGCTGGCTGAGAACAGAGACAGCAGTGTGGGAGGCAGGGGAGAAGTGGCATCACAGAGACAGTGCTGGAGGGGGACCAGCTTTTAAGCTGGCTCCTGCTTCTCCCCTTTGCTGCCTCTGATATGGAGACAACAATGTGGGGGGGAGGAGAGATGCAAGTAGTCGACTTGACAACCCAGTAAGCCTAAGATTTTAATCCACTACTCTTTTACATCCCTAGTACAGATTACTCTGGTGAATAAGTATTGCAAGATCAGACTGTTAAGTTTGTCATTGAAAATTTCAATGGTATTTGGACACCTCAATAGGCCCCAAATTTTCAAAAATATGAGGCATGAAAATGTATGAGCAAAACTAGTGTTCTAACGTGTGTCAGCTGTGCGCACACATACCCATTTGAACAAATTATTTTAATAATACACCTGCACTTTGTGCTCCCAGAGTAAAAACTTGGCCTTGTTGAAGTCAGTGGCAAAACTCCCATTGTGGTGCTTGGATTTCATTCTGAATATGTTTGGAAATGTGGGGTTAGGAGTCCAGCCTCAGTATAGAGGCCACACATTTACCATTGGCTTGGAAAGTTCACTTGCTGGGTTTAGATGTTGGACCTTTCCTTTTGTGCCTTTTGATTGTACCACAGGCAAATGATCCCATCCTTTTCATATCAGTGTTAATCTAATAATTGTCTATGGAATTCAATGGCAGGAAATCTTCCGTCCATGTATTTAACGTCATTTTTTATCTCGTGATATTTTTTGGGGGTAGTTGATATTTACCACTGCATTGAAAATCCAGTCCCTCCGCATCACGGGTAAATTTGAAGCAGAGAAGAAAACTCCACCGTAAATAGCTGGATTTGATGTGGATTGCTGCCAGAGTGGACATATCTTTTTTTTATGAACTTGTTGAAAATACATTTGGAATTTGTCTGAGTTTAAACTACTAAAACTTGGAAAAGTATTTTAGAGGACAATATTCAAATCTTGCAGTGGATGGTTATATAAAGCAATTGTAATCATGAAATTATAACTTGTAACAGCCTGGTCTGATGTCCTGAATTAAAAGTCATTTACTAAACTCCAGCCTCTTGTCTACATTCAGTATTGTGTCCCACGTGTCTTTGGAATCAGGGAATTTTGCTCTTTATCATCCCACTACAATAGATAAAGTAAAGAAAATATAGTTTTAAAAGTTAGCTTTTTGCTTACCCCCTGCACTATATATTTTTAACCTTGTGGTTTATTTTGCGGGTTCTGTGTAATGATGCCATTAAAAGAAATAATTTTGGATTTTTTTGGCAATCTAGATCTCAGAGCCTTCACCTAGTCAAGGGCCTGGTTAGGAATGAAAGGACAAAAGAAAGAGCAAAGTAGGAAGTCTAAAACGATTTGGGATTAGTTTAACCTCATATTACCATTTCATAGAATATGTTTTATCTATTTACGTCGTAACTGGTAAGAACAGAATCCCAGCACGGGACAGAGGAGAGTTTAAATCATAACAATCAGATGAAAAATCAGGTTTTACTTGAAACTGCCTGGGTTTTGATGTTTTGTCTTTTTCCCCCTATGTCTCCCCCCTCAAATTATATTTTACTCTCACCATGGAATTTAGATCGTATATTTGATTTGACTATTTATTGATACCACAACCTTAGAACTTTTTTAGTAATGTGTGCATATGAGAGGTGCATTTAGGACACCTTCCCTCCCAAACAGCCTTCCCTCCCAAACAGCCTATCATTTTGAGTCAACCTCTGTTTCTGGGATGAGGTTCTAAAAACAATTGTGCCTCTGTGGTGTAATTCATCTGTATCACAAATTGAAGGCAATGTCAGATTGTTGACCCCACCCTCGCCGGATCATTTTTATGGGTAAACTAGGTGTTGCAG